TGCTTATTTTTACGCATGATTGTTTTGCTCAATGCTACTTCTTATTGCATTTGAATGTTAAATGTGCTTTTATGTCTCACTGTAGTGTTTATTATACAACCTTTAATGCCTTATTATAAACACACATTTGCAAAAATCAAAATAATTTTAACCTGAAGTGGAAAAAGTTATTAACTTGTTTTATAGTTCAGAGGAAGATTGCCTTTGTGATTTTGTTTTATATGATTGCCTTTATATATACACACATATTAAAAAACTTACAGATATATGTATGTAAACATGGTTTAAAGGGACAGTGTATAAGAATCACTTTCTCAAGTAACAGAAAGCACACTCTGTACCAAAGACTGGGAAATCTCCTAAATTTTACCCTATAATAGCCAAACACATTATTTTCTGTTTGAATAAAATCATGCATCCGCACAATAAAAAAAAAAAAAAACAGGCAGGAAAGTTAATTTTAGCCCAGTACTTCTATGGAATAAGCATTGGTTTTCCACATAGAATGGGGAATAGAGACTATCTCCAAATGTTGTAGGTACATTTAGTTTTCAAACGTGCCATGGAAAATCCTCAGGAATCAAGAACCATGCAGAGCCCATGTTTCCAAGCTAGCTCACTTCAGACTCTGTCTTTACTAATAAAGTGAGACTGAGACAGAGGTTTAAATTCGGCGCTGAATATTGCTATATTTTATTGTTAGCGTGCTTGCCAGCCCAGTGCCAATCAGCTGCCTGCCAAACCAGGCCCAAGTAGGGGAGGTGAAAATCGTTATGGGGCTCTGGAACATTTATGCAAATGCAGCTACATATGTTTTGTCTCCACCACTTGAGTGGAAACAGTCCCAGAGACCTTCCCTAGCAGATCTGGGTGAAACATGTTCTGCAATAAGGGCTGACATGCTCATAGACACCAAGATATCTTTTGACATCTTTGACGTCTTGACATTTGAATCAAGACGTCAAGTATAACTCATTGTAGTGCAGTGTCCACCAAGCTGAAATCTGAAGTACTTTTAATCCTTAATAAAATTCTGGGTAATTTACTGACTGAGATCTGTCTTGCCTTATCACATGAAGCCAGAAAAAAAAACACTGAACCAAAATGCCATGTGAGCTATGCAGAGAGAGCCTTTTGCATATGATTTCCCATACTTACATTGTTAAGAGGATCTTTGTCTCTAACTCCGCACCTGGAGAGAGCTCTATTGGGCAACTCTTCTCAGGAGCTTTGGGGCTGCAGTCGCAGGTAAAGAATGAACAAATAAGGTTGGATGGATGCCCATCTTCCTCCCATTTCATGTCTTCTATCACCCTCCTATCACCCTTCTGATTTTATCTCAACAGCAAATCCTGAGGTCATGTGTCTATAGTGTGTTTCCACTATAGGAGAACAGCGATAGACTTCACCAGGAAAATCCACCTAATGCCTTGGAGACTAATGGGGAGTTTCTGGCCCCCAAACCACACAGATACAATTCTTGCCCTTATTAAATACTATATCGTTTCTTCTGTAGTTTGCTTCTCACTTGCACTATCTTCAAGGAAGAGTCAAGATATGGACAGAAGGAGTTGCCAGTGAAGGGCTTCCCAGTGACACTGTGCTAAGTCCCACAGTATTGCTGAGTTATGGCAATCATGAAAATTGTAGGATGAGATGGGAGCTTGAGGAGAAGACAAAACCATAATGCTTAATAAGGCTTTAAAGGATGCTAAGTTGTTGATTGTTAAGAGATTGAATGTTAAGGTCTTGGATGACCCATCTGTTGCCCTGTTTCAGACTAATGAGTGTGCATTAGCTAATGAGTATTGACTTTTTATTTATTTTGAGACTGCAATCCGAATGGTTGTATTAATTATAATTTGCAATTTCATTTTGGTTGTTTAATCAGTTTAAAATGGTTCAGAATAATTTTGAGATTTGCAAAAAGCATTGTAGGATGTGCATATGTTGCAAAATAGTAGTAAGATAAGCCTAAATGCTGAACTAAGTTCCCAGGATGCTTATATATTCAAAAGGAAATTCTGTGTATTTGTACTTGCAAACATTTTAAATAATGGAAATACAAAATGTAGTTCCATGTTTTTTCTTATTCCTGTTCTTTACAGTGAGGGTTATGCAATTAATGAACAATGGATATGGCTTTTATAGGAATTACAAGAACATTTAAATGCAGCAAAAAATCTCATAGGTTTCTTTTATTCTGCAGCAATGGCAAGCCGGCAGGTAGACATCGCTACTCAAGGATGGTTCATTGGCCTTATGTGTGCTGTGGCTCTTCTTATCTTGATTTTACTGATTGTTTGCTTCATAAGGCGGAATAAAGGTGGCAAATATCCAGGTACGGTATATAATAATAGGAGTAAAAATTGCTGGTAATCCCAGTAGGACAGAAATCAGTTTTATTGGAGAAATTGCACTTGCTGTACAAGTTTGTAGCAGTGACTTTAGCAATAATTGTGTTTCTGGGGTTATTGCAGATTGTCAGAGGAACTGACAAATGCAAAGCACAGTTATTAATGCTTTTTTTTCTTTCTTAATTTTAGCATATCAGCTTGAACTGTGGTTTAAAAAAAATAAGTTATTTCATTATGAAATTATAGCAACCAGATACATTTCAAGGTGTTCTACAATGTCATGATTTTACACTTAGAAAATATTGTCAGGAATTACTCATATCATCTTAAATAACATGTACAAATTAAGTCCATAAATTGTCAGAATATCCAATTTTATGTTGGATATAGCTAACTGCTAAACAAGGAAAGGATTTGGATGATAACTAGATAAACATAAATGAAGAGGCACAGGGGAGAACCATTAAAAATAGTTCTAGAAGTTGATATATTATTATACCCTCGTCAGCGATCCCAATTTATTTGTATTTTTTTGTTTAAACAACTGTTTTGTATAAAAACTGCCTTCTAAGGTACTAGTGGGTTTCAGTGTCAAAAGACAGTGTTGCATAGCTTTTTTTAGGAAGAGTTGCATGCACGCTTATCAAGTGAGTGATTATGAGATTATTAGATCCATAAGGGGGATGTGTTTAACTGCGAGTACTGCAAGATATATGCAATTATGTTAAATTTAGGTCTAACATAGGCATTTTTGTTTTTCTTTTAATCATGTTAAATAAAAGAAAAAGTTAACAGATGGAAAGATTTTTTTCCAAAGTTTAATAATTTTTAAAGCATAATTTAATATTCCCCTGAAATGTTTATTAGAGAACCTTTACTACAAGGTTAGTGCACGACCTGGCTACAAGGTACGAGACTGGCTACAAACTGTGAACATATGTGACATTGATTCGGTTTTATCCAGCAGTATGAGAGGAATATCAAGAGTCAATAAGGAGTATAGATAAGTAAAACAAAATAATTATTCAGATTGCAATAGAAAATGATTCTTTTAATAGCATAAATAAAACAAGTATTTTAGCAGGTTTTTAATGGAAAACTCACTTTAGTGCTAGAAATGAAGCTTTTCTAATGGTGAATGACATACAGTATTTTTTACGTGAATGAAGGTAAAATTCTATAAATAAGTAAGAGATTTTTTCTTAAAAAAAGAAAAATGTAACAGCCTAAGACCTCTGTTCAGAGAACAGTTTTTATTCAAATACATTTTTGTGCCAAATGTAATCAGTATGTGAAATTAGTATCTTAAGGTTTCCAGTCTCCCAATTTAATGATAAAAATTCCCATTTCAAATATTTTAGTGAAGGAAAAAGAGGATGCACATGCTGATCCAGAAATACAACCTATGAAGGAAGATGATGGAACATTTGGTGAATACAGGTGAGTAGCTGATGTGATTCAGCTGATGTGATTCATATAATATTTCACTTATTAATTCAAAACTGTAACATTTTTCTGTCTGACAAATATTCTGTACCCAGTGTTTTACAGAACTAAATATATATTAAAAACCCAAGATTTGTGAAATGAGAGCTTATAATGTATGCTAGGGATTGTCCACTAAGCAAGTTGAAGTCCAGATTCAACCCAAAATGTCTAAAAGTGAGGACTATGTTTTCAAGTCCATCTTTCAGATAATTAAAGTATCGGATAACATGTGCTTTTCAGGCACTGTGTGCTTGCATTCCTTCAATGACAGCACATAATTGCATTCTATTTTTGAAAATACATTTCTTCTAGAAACTTAATAAAGACAACATGGTGTTCCACTGCCAGGAAAATAATTTAATATGGCTGACAATACTAACACTTAATCCAATAGAAAAGAAGAGATGTTAAACACAGAGGTGAGAGAATGTCCTAAGAGAAAAAGAAATCTCTGTTTCATCTATTTCTGTACAAGAAATACAGCAAGCTGCTTCAAAGCATGCCACGCAGCTTTTGTTCTTGACTATGTTTATCCTAATGATATATAAAATGAGTCTCCTTGCAACCCAGAAAACATGCTTTTGCAACTCTGTTCATATAACAAATATGAGCATGTTTTGATTAGGTCAGGAAACAATGTTACAATTTTCTAAATATGTCAATGCTTTAGGCATTATAGTATATTTTACCATATTTTCCTTTCTCAAAAAATTGTAAAGGCCTTTTATTTTTTATAGCTGAAAAAATTATGACAGTGCATAGAATATTTTTTTTAAGACAGATTCATTCTGTTGTTATGATTTTTTTATTTAAGGCAAATGGGCATCTTAATCTGACTGGAAGAGGCTCACAATTCTGAATGCCAGAGGGCAGTTTCTTTTAATTCTAACTTAATTAAAAAAAAAAATCTCTAATCTGTTGTTCAGAATTGTGATTTACAGCATTCATTTTGAGTGTATATGAGTTAATTAAATTTATCTGATAAAAAGAGAGTTATGAAGCAGTGTTTGGGCGTAGCTGTAAATAAGTATTACATAAGTTGGCCTAGTTTGCATTCTGATTTATAGATCCTCTGCCATTCTGAATCTGGAGCTTTGATTAGCTGAAACAGATCTTCATACAGAATTGTACAAATTTTGTGGCTTGGGTATTTTGGGGTAGATGAAGACTATTCAGTCTGTTTCCATGTGTAGCAAAATTTAGGTGTATGTCTCCATATTTGAATGGCCTAGGTTAATCTATAGAATCATCTATTGCTTCATTGCACGATTTTATAGTCTATCAACCTTTTGTCTGGTGAATATGGACAGTTGCATGCATAGCTTTCAGAGTTGTTCATGTGAACAACTCCTTTCTACATATTTTTCTGTTTAATTAGACTGTATTGGGCTTTCCTCTTTTTTCCTAGAGACAGGGCAGCAGCAGCAACCAGTCAGATTACGAAGATATCTTGGCACCCTCTGCAGCCCAGCATCACTGCAGTCACTCAGTTCCCAGTTTGGCTGTCTCATTTGGCACTGGTCACAGTGCAGTGCTTCTTTGAGAAAAAAAAAAAAACAGTCTAGGTTTTCCCTTAAAACAAAAAAAAAAAGTAACTAAGTGATTTTTGAAAGTGATTTTAGGAATTCGAGTATTTTGAACTTTTTTCACTTCAGGTCCATGTCTACTTGGACAGTAAAGAAAATGGACAAGGAAAAGAAAAGACAAGGTAGCTGTGCCAAATCTCCTGAAGCAGACTCTGTCTTTGCCAAAGCAATTTCTGTGAGATCTGACAGATGCAACTTCTTCAGAAGGTCAGGGGATCAATACTGCAGCACCAGATCAGAGACCTCCTTCTCCAGGAGGAGGGCTAGGCAGTCCTCAGAGCTTACAAGGGTTAGTTCTGTCCCTGCTTCCCTCTGCCAAGAGGAAAAGAGGTCAGACGAATGGAAGTACAGGCATGGCTCTAGACATCATGCTTCCAAGCAACAGATAAGGGGGTCGGAGGAGGGCTCATGTTCTCAGGCAGGACAACCTCCCCCTTTGCAGCAGCAGCCCAGCAGCGGCTCAGTTCGTGGCTCACTGGCAAGGCAGTGGTCTCCTCGGCAGTGCTTCACCCAGAGCCTAGACTACAGCTCAGATTCAGAAGATTCCCAAAGCTCCTACCACAAGAAGGTAAGACCTTCTACAGCGACTCATTTCTCTGAAGCTGAAAAAAATACATTAGTGAGATCTATAATACTGCCTGAGTTGGCTACTGTGTTAACGGATGCACTGACAGCAGCCAAACAAAGTATAACTGCTGTGGCACAGACTAGCTCCCACTCAATAAAGCATCCCAGGGTACCAATTACAGAAGTTCCTGTGGTTCCCCTAGAAGCAACTGGGAGCGATTTCCATGCTTTTAAGCCTGACTATGTGGACAATTTAAAAGAGCGAACAGCTTCTAGTAAGGAGAAATATAAGGCTGACCAGACTTTGGAGGATGAGACATCCTCTGAAGATGTCGAGGTGTCATCTCTGTCCTCTACAGAAGAGCAAGGGGAACCGGATCCTGTGCGTAAGTTTGACATGGAGGATCAGAGTTACCTGTTCAAGCACATTAAGAGAGTGCTAGTGTTAAAATCTCCCAAATCTGAATGCCCTACGAAAGAACTGCCTCCCCCCCCTGAAGAAGGCAAGGTAGATAATGCCCTTCCTATCCATTCAGCCCTGGAAAATCTTGTCCATAGGATCTGGAGTAATCCTGAGGCAAAGCATGAAGCCCCAGCAGACTTATGTAAGGTGTATCCTCTTCCAGCAGATAAAGCTGCTTTGTGGGGGGCCTTGCCCGAGGTAGACAGGGCAGTGCTCACTGGGGATTCAGTACCTGCTAATATGGATGCTCTCCCTAAAGATCCTACTGACAGAAAGGTTGAGGAAGCAATCAAAAGATCTTTCAAGCTAGCTGCAGCCCAACTTGGAGTATCCATCTACTGTACATATGCTTCAAAAGCCTTGCTAGTCTGGCTGAAGGAAGAACAAGAGAGAGTCAAAAAGAGAGTCCAATCCACTGCCAGGCATAGGACACGTGGCCTATGTAAAATTGCAGCTAATTTCATCCATGATGCAGCTGAGGATTCTCTAAGACTCACAGTTAAAAATATGGCCTGCCTCACAGTAGCCTGGAGAGCGATATGGCTACGGCCTTGGGCCTCATCGCTAGATCTGAAATGTCGACTGCTGTCTCTACCATATACAGGTGGCAAACTCTTTGGTGAATCCATCGTAAAACTCATGAAGGATTTCTCAGAAAACAAGCATTCCTTCCATCGGCAGAGAAAGAGAAGATCTATTGAAAGCTCTCTGTTTCCATATCCTCACAGCTGTCTGAGCTCCTTCCGTTCTTCTCCTACGTTCAAAGGAGGGAAGGGAAAGTGTAAGGTCTCACAGTCTTTTCACACCAACTACAAGAGGACATCTCATTTACAGAGAGACATCAGAGCCATCAAGAGCAACTTTCTGACAATATAGACTCATTGCCTTTCTTTCTCAAGAACTGGGAAAAGTGGAAGATTCAGAAATTTATGGTGAATGGGCATCAGTATTTCTGGACAAGTAAGCCCGATGCTTAGGAAATTAGTTGTTTCAAAGTAAGTTTTAAATAATTTTGCCACTAATTAATATTTTCCAGAGAGGTCATAGCTCTGAGATTTAATGGGAGTTTTTGTCACACTCAGTTGCTAATCTTCCTGCTATTCTTGAGATGGTCTGGACTAGAAAATCCAGTTGTTTTGAGAACCACGGAATAACTGGAGACACAGTCCCAATGTGGCTGGAGATGTCATTGGGTCTTTGCATAACAAGGGAAAACAGTGCCTCTGGAAGTCCATTTTATAGCAAAGCAATTGCATTGCCGTCCTGATAATTTTGAATTATAGAAGACCGATTCAGTTAATTGTGAACAGCAAGACACTGCGAGAAATACCATATATGAATGTTTGTTTAAAGAAAAAATAAAGACACAGAGCTCTTGTTCACGTCAGCACAGGTCTACTTGTCTTAAATCAGCCTGCATAATTTCTGTCCTGGGCCATGAATCAAGAAAAGTTAAGGAATTATAACACCTTTGCATTTGAGAATTGGGAGAGAGTACAAAAATGAATTTGTTTGAATTTATGGGAGGTATAAAAGAGAAGCTTTTCACATCTTTTATTTCATAATATCTATGTATTTTTGTCCTATTGTTCCAATCTGACATCTTGACTCAGAAAGGTCAAACAGGAGAAGGCATCCACAATGAGAGGACTGCTACTCTTGCATAGACTGTTGGCACATTTCACTGAATTCTTTTGCCTCTTTTCTCAAATGTTTTGATGCACAGCGTATTTTTTTTCCAAGAAATACCTATTTACTTTATGAGAAACTTTCTGAAAATGGTTGGTAGACAACTCTGAGGTTGTTAAGTAATAAGTCTTCCATCTGTAGGCTGCTTAACAATGTGGATGTAGTTTATGACCTGCAGCTGTTTTTTTCTCTATTGTATTTTTTTCAAATTTTATTGCAGCCCGCTGTTTCCGGAGGGCCGATAACTTGTGCCCTCGCCTTTCTCCATCTAAGCACAGTTGCTTCTAACACAAGAGAGAACGTCAGCAGGCCGCCCGCGGATCCTTGCGTCTCAGTGACCTGACGGGGGTCAGCAGCAGTCTGGATGTGTCCTCATTCCCACACAAAAGCTTTCCTTGGTGCTTCCTAACTTGCTTCTTGAAAGTCCACGTAACTTCTTTTTTGAATCATTGCCTTGATTTCATGTTATATCATTTTCCTCCAGAAGCCATAACAACTGTGGAAAGTTTGATTAACTTTATCTCAAGTAAATAAAAACTTAAAATTTTCACAAGGAGAGAGTCAGATTCTTCGACTAACCAATTTTTCAGCCTGTTGGTGGTTAGAGGAAGAGCTCGGTTTTGTGTTTTTACAGCTTCTGCTAGGACTGAAGATCACTGTTGCAGAAATCCTAAAGACAAGCCACTTGGAAAACTAATATAGATGCATGCATATCTTGGCTAGATAAGAAATAGTAGAAAGCTCTGAAATCTGGATTGAG